TCCTTCCTTCCTTCCTTCCTTCCTTCCTTCCTTCTTTCTTTCTTTCTTTCTTTCTTTCTTTCTTTCTTTCTTTCTTTCTTTCTTTCTTTCTTCCTGTCCTTCTTTTTTTCCTTCCACTTAAGTGAAAAGGAGAAATTTCTTGACTTAGATACTGGGAAAATCGAAGACTAAAATGAAAACTTTGGGTATAATTGGATTCTATGTGTGCATGTCATCGTGTTTTCTCCTAATTCAGCTCTATTCTTATATCATCTTTGACCCTAAAGCAATAATGAATTCCAGCTGTAGATTCTAGTTCCTCCCAATCTTCATCTGCACATGCATAACTGGAAGTTCTCCCAGTCAAAGCAGGGGATAGAAGACTACTCCTCTTATCATTTACACCCTCTCTTGTGTGCACATACTATCCTTCTACTTTCCTCTAACCACATGTCTTAAGTGTGTGAGTTAGGGGTTGGTGAGTGGATGTGTATGAGGGTTTGTATCTAAAGCTATCTTTCAAAGCCAGCTTTGGTTATATTGGTCTATATTACTATTTTAGGGTAATCATCATTTCAGATGATGGCCTATTCTGTGTTGGGAGTCTAAATCTTATGTTCATTCCTTTACTGAGGAGGAATAAGGACCAAGTAATTTGTTTCCCATAACACTCTCTTTTCTATGTGGGTGAAAGTCTGATTTTAATAAATATTCCACAGCTGGCAATTAGCAGAAGTAGATGTCTACTACCAGCTTTTTGGTGCTATTTCTTCCTAATATTTTTTCGTAAAGAAGAGAACATAATAAAGTATTGAGCACAACAGAGAACTTGAGCACTAAAGAAACAAAGCCTGAAGTGTTAATGTTAGTCATTAAATATTACTGAGAATAAATATTTCAGCAAGTTTGTGCCTTCTTTCAAGATTTATTTTATTGTTTTCTTAACTTCACTTTTTCTCTTACTGCCTGAGACTGTCATATATGAGTATAATTCTTTAAATCAAATTCATCCCCCTATTTCTTCAATGCCAATGCCACCTGTGTGCCTCACCACAATTTTCTCACTCACGTTCACGTGTTCTCTTTTTAAACCCATTGATTCACTTCCTGTAGTCTGTAGTACTTGGTGTATCTACTGGAGCATGGGTAGCCTCTCTTGGGTTGCTTCTATGAACAAAATTGACCATCCTTACTCTAGCAGCCATCCATTAACAATAGCTTCTAAGCTGGGGGAGGGGGGCTTCATCATCCCTTCTCTCATCCACACTAGTCCTTCACGGCCTTGATCTCATACAGGTTTTTTGTATGATGTCACAGCTATTGTGAGTTCATATGTGCAATGTCCCTGTCAGGTCCAGCAAATACTGTTTTCCTGAAGAAACCCTCTCTTTATAGTTCTTACAACATACATAGCAAATTTCCAACTGTTTGTGTTTGCTTTTGAATTAGCAAACATAATAACACATAATATCTATTTCTTCTAAATTCTAACTGGCCTCAAATTTTTAAATATTTGTGCAAAAAAATAAGCATGATTCTAAATATTCACTTACTCAATTTTGGGATTAAGTCAAATTTATTTGAGACTTTCATTTAAATAATTTGCTTAATCTAATATAAGTCATTATAATATAACACTTTAAGAAGTGATATACAAGTATCATCAGTTCTGTCTTTGTCATTTCTTTTTGGCTTATTGTAAGCAATTTTGACAAAGGTGAATTATTTGATAAAATTTCATGAATCTCTAGTGGTGTAAAGTGAAACTTTTCATGGGACCTTCAGTTTCTAACTTTGGAATCACACACAATTAATAGTAAGTGAATATTTTCTTTAAGATTTGATATCAGTGAAATTTGTTTAATGCATAGAAAAGAAAGAGCTGTGGTACTATATGCATTATAATTTGTCTACAGGAAGCTCTAGCTATTTTGTGTAGGCAGCCTTTTTTATAACAGATGACACATGATATCTGAAGACTTTACACGTTGAATCAATATATCTAAAATGTTTATTAGATCCAATCTATCCTATGGCACTTAAGCCAGGGATGCGACTTTGGAATGACAGTGATGTGCCACTCATGTCACGAAAACAACCATAAAAAGAATTAAGGCTTCTAGTTGGCTTTGTAGACGATAAGAAAGAAATAGAGATAACATTTTGCTTCATAGATGAATTTCTGATCATCCATTTATTCTTTAATGAATGAAAACATTGGGCCCTACATGCCGAAAGACAAGATTTTTTAAAAATTATTTTATAAAAGTCAAATTCATCATGTGTATACTTTAGAAGGTTGCAGTTGAGGAGATACAAAGACCTTGATACTTGTTTTATGGAACACACAGTGTGGCTACAGGTAGTATGCTATTTGCCCCCCCATTCCTACTTCAAACTGTCCTCCCCAGCAGTGTACTCAATATATTTATTTTTCTGAAGAAACAAATGAAAGAAAAAGTATATAGTCTGGATAGAAAAATCAGTCAATCAATCTATCTATCATCTGTCATCTATCTATGCGATAGGTAGGAAGTTGGGTTAGAAGAAATGTGATAATTCCTTTTTTTTTTTTCAGTTTGGATTACAGTTGACAGTCCTTTAACAAATGATAGGTTAACAAGAAGAAAGCATAGACAATATTTGATCTTTTTTTCTGGAAAAAAAAGTTAAAATGGCCATTTTATGCTCAGGTACCATAAACACCTATAGGAAAAATTGTTAAGAGTGTCATTGTGACCAACTTCTGTCCAGAAAGTCATTGGAGAAAAAGTAAGGTTATTTTTCATTTTGATGTAGATTTGGGAACCACAACTCATTCTCAGAAACCTGTCTCCTGCTTACATTCTTTGTCTTTTTTCTTTCTCACCTTTTATTCTTAGCAAGGTGAATCATGAGTCATGGACTACGCTTTGGGGTATCATTTTCTGAGTCACAGCAGAGCATCAATTGGGTTTTTTTTATGAACTGGAGAAGAGAAGTAGCTGTATCTATGTGCTGATAATTAATAGAAGCTGAGTCAGGTATTATAGGGAAGGTCGAATTCACAGGAATGATTTGACAGGAAACAGTTCTATAAGTTTTAGCAACTTATAGTTGTATTACATAAGCCTACTGTATAGAGAAGGGAGTATTTGGAAGATGAGGCAAGAGAGCGAAAGGTGAATCAGATACTGATGGAGAATTCTAAATATGGTCTTTTCAGTTTGTTGGAGATTCCTTGGTGACCTCTTCAAAATTATGATTTAAAATACTTTTCTTTCTGAGCATTGGTATTTATTTTACCTAGGATTGACCTAACTTATTGAATGGAAGTTTTATATATTTCACCAGGGTATACAAATAATGGAAAGCACTGCAGTTCAACAGATGGAAAAGTATATTGTTGATTTGCTTCATGTGCTTTTAATTACTGTGGGTATATTATCGGCTTGGCAGTGCTCACTTAGAGACAAAGGGAAGCAGGAAAACAATAATGAGCAGCAATATCTATATAAAACTGGGAACTGTTTTGTTGGTAGCACAGAGTACAGAGTTCAGTAAATTAGCACCAGGTTGGTACTGTCACATAATTTCCTGGTAGGAGCACAACAGAGCAGCTTGTAAGAACAGATGAGCCTGGACACACATGAAGCGATGAATATAAATCAGAGAAACTTAATCTAGCATTGGACATCTAGATGGGGGTCAGTGATGCTAATCATCATCACCACACCACCATGCACAGAGGAGACAAAAAATATTTGCTGATAGTAATTATGAACTCAACAAGAAACATGAGTAGCATTTTTTTCTCCTTGTAGGCCTTTTTTTTTCCAGGAAATATTTAAATGTTCATCATTCCTAGCAAAAGACTCATTTAAAGGACTGTTTTGACCATGATCTGGCCACTCAAATACTTGTAATTATTATGTTTATTTCTAAAACAGGAGGATATTTACTCACATTGTGTCCTATTTCTAGTATAATGCTTCATGCATGCCTATTGTTGATGACTCCATATTTAGTTTTGTTTGATTAGAAACAAAGACTTATGAATTCAGTAAATTTAAGAACAAATATTGCTAACTACAAATGAGATTCTCCAGGTAGAAGTAATATGAATCATAATAAATCTCACTGCTTATTACATTACCGATCTCACTTGAACTTGTCTATACCATATGAATGCCTCTTAATTTTGGCCCTAAAAGCTTGATTTTGACTACATGTTCATTTATCCAATAAGAGAGAAATTAATATAAATCTAACTTTAAGCACAGCATCTTTGATGAAAGGAAGATGAGACAAGACAAATAACTTATTTATTTAAATAACTTCATGCTTTGCTACATACTCTTTTCATCTAATTTAATGAGAGTAGATATCATTATTGTCCTTGTATCTCAGGTTATGGTTTAGATGGATTCAAAGTTTCTGTCAGATTTTGCATTAGTACATAAACATAGGCAGGATTCATTGTTTTCAGAATAATGACATTAATGTAGGACTGATGCTCTGCTATCCTTATATTTGCCGTAGAAATTTTAATCCCTGAAATTTAGGAGCACTGTCTTATATCCTTAATAGCAGTCAGTCATTGCTAGGTGGTCGTTTTATGCATTATTCCAATTTTCCTAGAACATGTTTCTTTATGAGATTTAAAATTCTGATAAATTGTTCCAGTTTGCTTTCTGTTGCTCTAATAATCATCATGACCAAAACCATCTTTGGTAGCAAAAAAAAAGGACACTTGGCTCATGGGTTAGAACCCACCACTGAGCAAAACCAAGTCAATAATCTCAATGCCAGTTGAGACCATGGAGAACAAGCTTCTGACTGGCTGTTTCCTACTTCTGCACAGCTGCCTTTCTGGTAAGCAGTGCTGTGGATATCGCTCTGTATAAATAAAATGCTGATTGGCCAGTAGCCAGGCAGGAAGTATAGGCAGGACAAGCAGAGAAGAGAATTCTGGGAACAGGAAGGTTGAGTCAGAGAGACACTGCCAGCTGCTACCAGGACAAGCAGCATGTGAAGATGCCGGTAAGTCATGACCCACATGGCAAGGTATAGATACATAGAAATGAATTAATTTAAGAAGTAAGAACTAGATAACTAGAAGCCTGAGCCTTTAGGCCAAACAGTTTAAATAATATAAGCGTCTGTGTGTTTATTTTATAAGTGGGCTGTCAGACTGCCTGGGCTTGGCGGTACCTGGAGAGAAAACTCTCCAGCTACAAAGCAGTCCTACCTTCCCAGAGTTGGCATTATCCACAGTGAGCTAGGCCTTCTCCATCATTTAACACTAATAATAATAACTTTAAAATGTCTCCATAAATAGAATCACAGGCCAATCCAGTGGAAGCAATTTCTCCACTGAACTTCTCATTTCCCAAGGATGTCAAAGTGACAACCAAGATTAACTACCACAGACATAAAGAAAAGGCAAAGAGTAATAGATGGCTAAATACTCTAAGGTAGAGATCAAGTGAAATAGATAGATAGTAGTATATATCACACATCAGAACATGATTAGCATTCTCTCTGGCACCTGGTATCTTGAGAATAGCAAAGTTTGTCCTTTCCTTATTTTGATGGTTGTTTCCTACTGCTAATGCAATAGAATTCAAAATCACCAATGCTCCAAGTACAAGGAATACTTTATAAATAACTTCGTGGAGAATGAAAGATTTAGATTTTTATTTTTATGATAAATAATGTGCACAGCACACGTATAGACTTAAAGAATAATATACACATTTATGAAATGGACACAACACTATTTATTTTCTTATTGCTTTATAGTCTATAAAATATTCAAAAGGTCTTTAATGGTCCCTGAATGTTTCTGTAACTTTGTTTTTTATAAAGTATTCATCCACTATAATTTGCACCATATATAAATGCAAAGTCTCCTTT